AATGGCATTGCGAGATACCAGGGTCTTCAGATCTTCCAGAGCCCTGACGGCATCCCCAGGAATATTTGGAAAACCCCCAAAGCGGCACCAAAGCGGCCTCCAGGCGCCCACGCCAGAACACCTGCCCCCCCAGGGAAGTTGTTCTTGAATATGCCTCCTTCCTTCGCCTCCTTGTGGGTAGACTGGGGTGGCTTGTTAAAATACGGGTCATGGGAGACCACCGTACCGCGAGACATGAAACGGGCCAGCTCTCCAAGCCTCTGCACCTACCAGCACCTTGAAAGGGCCGCGGGTCGGCGAACGCTCGGTGACCAACAATTCCGCCAGGGGGACCTCGACCGTCTAGTGCGGCAGTCCACCCGCGCGGCCTTCAGGATAGCTCTGGTGGGCACCTCTAAGTTCCTCTCAAGACAACGCACGCCAATCTTCATAAGCTCTATCGAATCCTTGTTGTAGGCCCACCTCTGAAACTTCAGGCTGGCGATCGCATCCAGAGACCTCGAAAGGAATGAGGCGCTCCTCGAGACGACAACGAGCCTGCTTGCAGACGGGGCACTCTGGGGCATGCCCACTAGGGAGGTCCACAGGGAGCTTCTGGTATTAGACGAGCCTCTGAACAGTCAGCTGACCCTGGCCTCCCCGAAACTCGAGGCCAACAGGGCGGCGGGGGAAGAACCCTTCATTCAGATCCGCCTTGACCGAATCAATGCACGGGAGCAGCTGCTTGGGGGTCATGAAGTAGTCGTAGCAGCGGCCTGGGGTACTGGACAGGCAGGTGTGGAAAGCGGAGGGGATGCATCGCTGACCATTTAGTTTGCAGGGGCAAGAGCCTGATCTGAACACATGTGGCTCAATGCTGTAGTCTCCACCCGATATGCATGGACGAGCCAGCCGCAGGTTGGCCGTCCCTAGGCCTTCCCCATCTTTCCAACAGTTTAAATACATGGACAATCCCAATGACTTTGCTTCTGAAGAGACAATGAACAATCCGAAAATCTGCAATCGGAGCTGAGGTCTCTGAGATGCACGCGCGCGCAAGTACACCCCCCCGCACACTTGCCGCCTCGTTGGGTGGCTTGGCAAGGAATCCAACAACTTGCCACCCCGTCTTTCGTAGAGACTCCTTATCCGCTAAGAGGGGCTGACCATGAAGCTGATGTTCTTGCACAAGCACAACGTGGGCACTGGTGCCCATGGGGAGGGCCTTGGCTCCGTTCCAGGAGTTGGCGTTCGCCGCCTGGGCGACGAGCTGGCCCCCGCGTCGCACCGGCGCTGCGCGCTGCCCGCCAGGCGGGCCCCCCGCCACCGAGGCCGAGCCGCATGCGCGACGGCGCTGGGGCTGCGGGGGGGGCCCCGCCTCGCGCTCGGCCGCCTCCGCCGAGCGACGCCCGGCCAAGGGGGCCTGGGGCGTCGCGGCGTCCGCGGCGGCCTGCTGCTCAGCGCCTGCCGCGTGGGCTGCTGCTGCTGACTCCGCCGTCAATTCCTCCGGCCGTGCCGCCGAGCTGGCAGCCTCTGCGGTCTCTGCGGCGGCCATCTCGACAGGCCCGGCCACTGCCTCAGCACGCACCGCGCTCGCGTGGGCCACGGCGCGCCCGTGGAGGCCGGAGCGGAGGGCGGGGTCGAGGTCGAGGGTCAGGTAGTTGAGCCCATTCAAGTAGCCGCCAACATCTCTAGGACTCTGCGTGCCACTCAGCGCCGCCATGGCTGCCCCTTTTACTTCCCCCCGTCACGATAGGCGCGTCTAGCCTTGGCGGCGATGCCCCCGCGCACGGGTCTGTTGGCCCCGTCGAGGAGGGCGATGCTGGATTCTGGCCCATCAGCTGGTTCACCTTGGCCTCGAGCTCGTCTCTCGTGGATCGCGCCACGACAAGGTCTGCCTCCACCAAGGCCTTCTTCACTTCCACATCCTGCACCGTTGCCTCCTGCGGGGTAACATGGGCCCCCAGCTGCTCGAGCTGCTTCTGAAGCCTTCCGAGCTTCGCCGAATGAGCCTGAAAAACCTGAAGTGCCGTCTTTCCCGAATCTCGACGCAGTCGAGGCCTCTCCATGACCGCCTCCGCCGCCTCAATCGCCCCGGTCGCCTGCGGCTCTGCGTCGTTGGACTCGCTGCGCGCCTTGCTGGCCTTGAGAACATCCAGCGCGTGCTGCAGTTGCGTGATCTGCGGCCCGATTGGGCGATGCCCCCCCAGAGCTGCCCGCGCCGCCAACGCCGCGAGCGACCCGCATTCGCGCTGGCGGAGCAAACCTGGCAAAGCCAGGAGTAGTCTGCCTGCTGCGCTGACTGCCGCGGCGCTCCACCGCGTGGCACAGGCGGTGTCTTGCCCTGGGCAGTCGCGCCCTTGCCCTCACCACCTTTGGCTTTGCTCTTGCCCTTGCAGTCGTTGCGCCCGCCCATCGCCGCCCGGCGGGCGCGATGGATCGGTTCGGCAGCCAGCCCGCCGCGGCCCCGCCGCGGCCCAAGTCTGGAAACGCTGGCAGGCGCGCGCCAGAAAGACACCGCGCCACCTCGAGCCAGAGCGGCTTGAGCCAGGGGGCCTGAGCCAGGCAACAGATTCACCCTTCCTCCACTTGTCGGGCGGCTCATCCAGCAGCTCTGCCGCGCGCGACCTGCCCGCCCCCCGCCAACTTCGGCGACGGCTTGCCGGCGTCGGCGGCGACGCGCGTGGCGCTCAAGCGCTCGAGAAGCTTGGCTTCGCCCACCTTTATCTCAGGCCCCGCGAGGCCCATGGCTTGGGGAACTGACTGCGACGACCACGCGCGCCCCTCCTTCTCGATCTGCTCAGCGGCCTGCGTTCTGATCAGCGGCCTTCTTTCGCCTGCCGCAGCTGCGGCGGCTTCCTGGGAATTGGCCGACGCTGTGCCAACTTCAACATTATCCCGCTCGGCCTTCTGGCGCCCGACGCGGGCCTGCCCTGCCCGGCGCGAGGGCGCAGTGCGCTTCGCTGGCGGGGGCTTGCGCTCGCGTTGCTTTCGACGCGATGCCTCAAGCTGGCCGCGAGCGCCCTGGATGGAGTGGTCGAGGGGCCCGCCCAAGGCAAACTGACTGACCCTAACCGCAGGACATGCTTGACCAGCCCGCCAATCTCATCTCGTAGCTCATTGGACCCATGGGTCTCCATGGCGGCCGAACCGCAGCGCGCGTCTCTCCGGCGCGCCCATCGCCGCCGAGCTCGCATTGGGAACTTACTCCTGTCGTGGCTGGGGGGGGGGGCATCAGATGGCGCCGCGCACTTGAAGCAAACCCCCTTCTGAAACCTGCGCGTGCCGGACTTATCATTGCCTTGGCCACCTGTTTCCATGGCGCGGGCGCCATGGCGACGTTGTGGCGAAAAAGACGGGGGCGCCAGAGCGATCCTGCGGCGCTAGCTGGAAGCCGTCGAGCGCATGCTCTCTGGCGCGGGCCGCGTACCTCCGGCGCCCGTTCGCTCCGCGGGGGAACCCATAAGCTTGACCCAAACTGACAATGGATGTGAAGGAGGAGGGGGGCGAGAGGCACGTTTACCAGGCGTGGGAGGAGGCGCCGCTGCGACTAGCAACGGGAAGGCCGCGCGGGGTTGGCCAGACCCGCCGCGAACGCGAAAAACAGGACAGATATCTTCAGGCACCCACCAGTGCCAATCGCTGAACATGTTTGATACATATCAAGAAACACCCGCCAATGCCAGTCGGCGAGCGCGTTTGGAATCCCTCAAGAGAGTCCCGCCCATGCCAGAAAGGTTAACATGGTAGACGTGAGCTAAGAGGCACTCACATTTGCCAATTGGAGTGCCTGCTGGAAATAATTAGAAGCGCCCGCCAGTGACAGTAAGAGAACATGTTTGAAGCATGCCGGGATATCCTGACCAGCGAAAGCTAGTGGCCACGTTTGGTAAACCAAGGGGCACCTATCAATGCCAGTTTGATGACAGGTTCGAACTATTGGACGGCCGCCCACCAAGCCCAGCATGATAACACTTTTGAAATACACGTAGAAACTCCCGCCACCACATGTACGTGACCATGCTTGACTAGACCGCGATACGCCCGCAAAAGCCAGTGGGGGACACGTTTGACATACACAGACAACGCCCACCGATGCCAATTTGATAACATGTTTGAAATATATAGCAAGAGACTCCCGCCACTGCCAGCAGGTCATAACGATGAACTATCAAGAGGCAACCATCAACGCAAGGAGCCGAACATGCTTGAAACATATCAAATCAAGACCCCCGCAACTGCCACACTGGGAATATGTTTTTTCTTTAAGAAAAAGGTTTGAGACGCCCGCCCCTGCAGGTAGGTGAGCACGCTTGAAATATGCTCGAGACACCCGCGAATGCAGACTTCATCGCCGTTTCAGCAGCGAGCGAGAGGGGACGTGAGAAGGAACAGGCCTTCTCAGCGACGGCACTAAGGGACAAGTCATGAAACCCACTATTGTGAGAATGTGCGGGTTACTGCAGGACGGCCCGATCTGTAGCATGAGCAGGACCCAAACTCTCCCATGAACCATCACCGCAACTCAGTATGCAGTATCCCAGGGCCCGCTTGAATCTCGCCCAATTTCGTTACTGCCCAAAGAGCCAAGGGGGCCCAAACAGCTTCCAAAATTGCGCCAAGAGGGCTTCGACAGAGGCCTCCAAGAGTCTTCCTAAGGCCTTGCGGAGGGAATCCTCTGCGAAGGCTTGACGGTCGGCTCATCGTCGACGTCGTAGTCGACGTGGTCGTCAACTCGCCTGGGCATCCTATCTGGATGGGCTGGTGGGGACACGCGAAGTGTCTGGAATCATAGTAGTGGGCACTTGTTGCACTTCTTCGGAATACTCTGCGTGATTGATAAAACGATGCGGCAACAGACCATCAGGTAAGATACCGCCACCAATGTGCATCCCATCGATCCCGCCATCATCTTCCTCATCGAACAAACTGGTCCTAGAACACGTGTGCACGCAGTGAATGCTGGCAATGTGCGGAGGACAAGTGGGAAACCTCTGCGAAGAGGGTCAGCGCAAGCGCGCCTGCCAGTGCGCAACCAGCAGGAGCAGGATGAAGAACTTGATCAACGACACTCGCTGGTATGACATGGACATCTGCACCTCGAGCCTGCTCGATACAGGCGACGCGGTCAATGAACTGAAAACAAGAACACATGCGTGTGCGTGCATGGCACGTGTCCGACTCATATCTAACAGTTCAGTGTATGTTTGTCCGTGGTCGCTTCTATTGTCAGTGCTTCGTACGTTGCTTGCGGGCATCTGTGTAATGCGATAGCGAAGTGGCACAATGCAACAACCATGCACTACATCAAATTCGTGCGACCAATAAAAGCCAAGGTTCGCCTATTTGAAGCCAACACCTCACAAAAGGCCTCCTCCTTCTCCTCCTCCTTTCCGCTTACTCCTCAGACGTAGTCAATCAGTCCCCCTCCTCTCTCGACCAATACCAAACTTCTGGGCGCATGTGGTTAAGCAGACTCCTTCCGCTTCTGGGAGGGGTCTACTACCCCCCCCCCAGCGGACCCGCCCCCCGCGCCAAGCATATCCTCCTGGGGGCCTGTTCGAGGTTGTGTTGTGGCATCTTGGGGCCTCCGGGAACCATCTATAAGGCCTCTTTGAAAATTATTGGGGTTCCGTGGGGCATCTTGGAAATGTTCTGGCGCCGAGGATGGGTTCGGGCCTCTTGGGGCCAAATTAGGGGCCTCTAGGGCACTCTTGGGCCACTCCTGGGCCCTCTTGGGACTCGCTCGGGCTCTTGGGTCGTCCTGGACGCCATGAGCTCAGAACATGCTGATAAGATACGGCTTCTGATTAACATGATCGACCCACGAACCCAGAAAGGAATATAGAAATGTGAAGCATTGGCATGTTTCAAGAAACCAAACTTGGGCGACTGATACTGGCAATTGCTCAAGGTGGCGATGGTGATGTACTGTGCGGTGCTGTTCTGAACTGAGACGAGCCATGCCGCGTCAAAGTGCTGCGCTCTATTGTATTGTGGATCAGATCGTCCGTGGCGTCAGAATCCCGATCGAACTGATCTGAATCTTCAGCTCGAGCTGTCTGAACGCGTAACTCACGTCTGGCCGCAGTCGAAACGCGCTCGACCAGCTCGAGCTCCAGATCCAATTCAGTTCGGGAGCGGGACGAGACGACCGGGCGAATCTGAACAGTTCTGAGCCCTGTTGCGTCGTGGATCAAGTCTTCCATGGCGTCCGAATCATGACAGAACTGAGCTGGGCCTCAAGCTAGAGCTGCCTGGGCGCATTGCTCGCCCAGAGCTGATTGCAATCGAGACCTTATGAAAGGACTATGTTTCGCAACAAGACAAAATAAGAAGAGCAAGTCCGAAACCGAGACGAAATGCATCGAGAAATGGCGGACCGAAACACCGACGACGACAACGAAGGCGGACGGTGACGACCGCGACCGCGGTTCCAACTCGGGACCACTATGTTAGATATCCCCCCGGGTGGCCTAGAAACGTAAAACATCGAGGCCACCATGCTAGATACCCCAAGGGAAATCTGAAAAATCACCAACCGACGGTTATAACACATCTGGTGTCGGCTTTTTCATTCTGCCTGGCTCTGATGGGCCCCAACGCTGGGGGCGCCCAACCAACCACCTGTTAGACACCCCCCGTAGGGTGGCCTGCACAGGTAAAAACAGATGGTTCCAGCACGTGCCAACCATGTGTTAGATATCCCTCTGGGTGGCCTGGACACATGGAAACACTTGTTTTCAGCTCGGGGTTACCATGTTAAATACCTCCCTGGGTGGCATGGGCACGTGAAAACACGTATTTCCGCTCGGGGCGGGCCACCATATTAGATATCCACGTGGGCGCGGCCTGTACACATGAAAACACATGGTTCCAACGAGGCGCAACAGGCAACCATCTTAGATATCAGCCCCGGACGTCCTGGACACGGAAAAGCACACGGTTCCAACTCAGGACCACCATGTTAGAAACCCTCCTGGGTGGCCTGGACACGTAAAACACGTGGTTCCAGCTCGGGACCACCATGTCAGATAGTCCTTTGGGTGACCTGGACACGTGAAAACACTTGGTTCCAGCGCGGGACCACCATACTAGACACCCCTCTGGCTGGCCTGGAAACGTGAAACCACGAGGTCCCAGCTCGGTGCCACCATGTCAGATACCCATCTGGGTGGCCTGGGCGTGTGAACACACGTGTTTCCAGCCTCGGTCCACCATGCGAGATACCTGTCTGGGTGACCTGGGCACGTGAGCACACGTGGTGCCAGCGAAGGGAGCACCATGCTAGATAATTACCCCTCTGACTGGCCTGGAAACGTGAAACCACGGGGTCACAGCTCGGTGCTGCCATATGTTAGCTCGGAGGTGAGAGGGTGAGATCGAAGTGGAACGGAGAGGCCCCCTTACCGGGAAATCGGTTTCGGTTTCGTGTTCGTGCGTGCCGTGCGTGCGGGCGAGGCGAAGCTGCGTGGGCGGGCGAGAAGAAAGTCTCCTCCGGCTGAGGCGCGGCCGGACCAAATCATTCCTTTCCGGGGGCCGGTGGCCCGCGGTGTCCCGCCGGTGTCCCGCCTCCCGCTGAGGCGCGGCCGGACCAAATTATTCCTCTCCGGGGGCCCGTGATCCGCGATGTCCCGCCGGTGTCCCGCCAATGTCCCGTCGGTGTCCCGATGATGGTGATGATGATGATGATGATCATGGTGATGATGATGGTGATGATGATGATGATGTCGATGAGGTTGATGATGATGATGATGGCGGTGGTGGTGATGATGGTGTCCCAATGATGATGATGAAGATGATGATGTTGACGATATTGACGATGATGATGATGATGATGGAAGTGGTGGTAATGAGGATGGAGTCCCGATGGTGATGATGATGTTGATGATGCTGCTGATGATGATGCTGATGATGGTGTCCCGATGATGATGATGATGTTGATGATCATGATGATGTTAATGATGCTCATATGATGATTAGATGATGATGAAGATGATGATGGTGCCCCGGTGATGATGATGATGTTGATGATGATGGTGATGATGATGGTGTCCCGATGGTGATGATGAGGTTGATGATGATGACCATGATGGTGTCCCAATGATGATGATGACGATGTTGATGATGATGATGAGGTGGTGATGATGATGATTTTGATGGCGGCGGCCCGATGATGGCAATGATGATGATGCTGATGTTGATGATGATGATGGTGTCCCGATGATGATGATGGTGATGATGATGATGGTGACGATGATGATGGTGGCCCGGTAATGGTGATGTTGATGATGGTGGTGTTGCTGATGATGCTGATCGACCGTACCTGAGGCGAGCCAGTTCGCACGCATCGTCAGCCGCTTTAGATGTAAGTGGCGCGCGGTGCTGCTGCGACGGCGACTCGCTGTTGGCTTGGCGTGAGCTGGTCCCCATGGGTCGCCGCAGCTCTCGCCTTGTGGTAGGTATATAATGCCAGCGCGGCCATTCGCAGCGCACCAGCGCGCGGGAACGCGCGGCTCTCGCGGTTGCATTCGTTGTCGGCCGCTAGGGCTGGGAAAGTCGGATGGTAGGAGGGGGGGCCAAAGAGGGAACCGCGGACGGGGCAGGAAAGATAAAGGGCGATGGAGTCAATCTGGGCGGACCCAAAAAGGCAATTAGCGAACTCACGCTCGTGGCTTCGATGGCTGGTTGTCCAGCCAGCTGCGATGGTCTTCCTTATTGACCCCTGCCAAGCAGGTCTGTACTTCTTGATCGTAGCAAGACACTCCCCCCACCGCTCCGCCACCCCGCCCACGACGCTATCAACAAAGCCCCAAGCGTTCAGACGCTTGGAAATAGCGACTTCAAGTTTATTGGGGAGGAGAAAGTGGCGGAGGAAAGAGGGGGCCGCATGCTGGAGCTTGGGCTTCTTGCCCACCGCTTGCGCCGCACGAAATACCACGCGGCCTGTTGCATGCAAGGCTCCCCGCTGGACAATCGGGCTGCCACAGTGGGGTGGGCGATTCACTAATTCTGCGAAATGCTGGGCGATCCCCTGCTTCTGGATCCAGCAGGGTGCGCTCCACTCTTTTTTGATCCATTCTTCGATGGGGCAGGTCAGCGGCGCCGATTCGCGCCACCTGTCGAGCTCTGCTGCCCATTCAGTGCTCGCGAGAGTGGAGCAGCTGCAATTACTAGCTGCTCCTAGGATCAGGGCAGACTGAGGGGCCACTAAATCGTGCCCCGAGAAAGAAAAACCATCAGCTTTGCAAAACGAGCAGGCCCTACGGCAACCAGCACGGACTTGACGAGAATGCGCTTCAGCTGTAGGTTGGTCTCCAGCTCGCTGCGCAGCTTGTGCTGCTCGGACAGCACGTAACTGAATGGCTCGTGCATGTTTGTCGCCAGGTCGATATGGTAGATGCCGAGGCTCATCTCGAGTTTGACGAGCGACCACGGGCATGAGATGTTTCATGTATGTCCACTTCCGTGCAGGCGAGCACCTTTCCAGTCCATTCGCGTTCATGAGGCTGTCGAGTATGATCTTGTAACCGTCCTCCGTGGAGACCACTTCTGGGATGCGCTGCGCTTCCTCTGGGATGTTCTGCTTGGCTCTAAAGGAGGCGTGGCTGATGGAGAGGTCGCTCAGGCGCGACTGGGCCATCTCCACTGGGCCCATGGCAACAGAGAGGTGGATGTCCGTGACAATCAGGTAATGCTCTGGCGTATTTACAAGGAGTCTATCGATGGTCATTGCTGTGTATTGCTGTCTGCTGAAATATGTTGGCCCCTCCGTTCTGATCTCCTGCATAGAGTCAAATAGGGAACGCCAGAGGGCTTCAGCATGTTGGTATGTATGATGTGTCCGTAGCTGGGCCTGGTCAGGTATCGGGTAATCATAGGACATCGGAACGCCTTCACGGATGTTGATGTCACCTATCGCGATGAGCGTGTGCTCAAGATGATTGCTGCTTGCCCATTGAATATTTTCCATCCATCTGCTATTGATAACATTCTTATCGTTCAGGGAAATGTTGTAGTTGTGGGCATTCATGATGCGCATATGGTAGCGTAGCTCCTGTTGCTTAATAGACAGTTGCGTGACCCTGCCTGGAGCAAGCACTTCAAATTCGAGAGACGGTCTGGTATCTGCATCGCTGGTGAGCCACGGCACCAGGAATGCCACTCCACCCCTTCGTGCATTGCCAGCGCGCTCAGCATCGGGTAATTCAGATGAATACTGTGATGATTCTTCCGCCTGTGAGCGAAAGACCTTGTAATTGCATGGAGAAGAGGCAACCATAACTTCTAGCTGCTGTCGATCACCATGCGTCTCCTGAAGCATGATGGGAGCGGATGCCTTCATGGACCTCTCCATCTTGCGCAGCTTGTACTTGCGGCGACGATACTTGTAGTAGCACAGGTCATGATAATTCCACGATACTACTTGGCCACGATGATCTCTAGCCTGTTGTAGCCGCGGGCTCCAGCGCTTATTAAATAGACCACCGCGATGTATCTGTGGCCAAGAAGAGCTGTTGAACCTGATCTGTAATAGTGATCTTGTCGATACCCATCTGGTGGGCGACTGCGATGTCCCACATGAGTTTTGTGGGTGCGCTGGCGCTGTCTCCAACCTCGAGAACCACAAGGGGAATTGAGCTGCAAGAGACAATACCTTCGTCTCCGACTCTTCTGAAGTGGTGATTGCCGTACTTGTCCGCCAGGAGCCTGACCAATCTCTTCGTTTGTAGCTCTCGCCGAAGTGTTTTAGGAGACTTGTCCGCGTTGATGTAAAGGGGGGTGGGCGCGCCAGAAGTGTTTGGAGCCGAGAAATTACGCCACTGACCTCCTGCTCTGAGATTCCGTGCGAGTGAAAGACTGCGTGAGGTGGCTGCTGGTCCACCAAGGACTCTGAGGAAGAAACGCCGTGCAGGAACGTCGCCGATGAGCTCGACATCGTTGGTGGAGACGCCTGCTGCATTGATCCAGGGTTCAAGCGCTCGCTTGACCTCTGCGGGTTGTATGGCCGATGGCGCTCCAATAGTGTAGAGACGGGGGTCTGGAGGTCGATCCCAGACTGCCAGAGCTGCCATGTCAAAGGCGGGTGAAGTAGCTTCCACCATTGCCAATTGCGATTGAATCCGTTCCACGTCTTGCCGCATTTGTTGTTGTTCCTGCTCCACTGTGTGTGTACGCTGGTTGAGTTCTCGTACTGAGGTGTCGAGGGCGTCCATCCTGCCGCCATGCTGTCGAACGTGTCCGAGTACGAGCTGAAGTTCGCCTTGAAGGGCTTGCTGGGCGTTGCGAATGATGGCCTCGGATTCGTTCTGGAGCCTGAGGGTGGCGGACTCGATCTGGGAGGTGAAGAGCTGGCTGAGGCGCTGCTCCAGCGAGCTGTCGTCGTGCACGAATCCATCTCCAGGTGGGGTAGCCTCGCCCGCAATTGGAGTCGCTGGTGCCATTCCTGCAGGCGTTGCAGTAGGCGTGCCGGATGTTGTAGCCGCCTCTTCTGCAGCACGCGCGGGGGAGACCCCGGAAGCTGGACCCGGTGGAAGCTGAGACCCTGTCCACGGGTCCTCTTTTTGTAGTGCATCTTCGCCTCCCGGGTCGGTTCTTGAACTGGCTGCCCTTGCTGCTGTCGCGGTCGAGGGTCCTCCGCTGCGCGTTGCCCTGCGCGTAGGCGTAGTAGCTGTGGCTGTGCCTGCTCGGCCCGTACGTGGGGGATGAGCTCGTTGAGTATGCCCGCTCTCCTGTTCACGGAGGGCTTCACGTTCACGTTCAGCTCGCCGTCTATCCCGATCTTGAGAAGGAGGGCGTTCAGATCTATGCTTATCACTTCGTTGACCTCTGTCACTACGAGAGTGGCTGCCGTCTCCTCTGCCCTTGTCCCTGCGATCTCGTACTCGCTCTTTGCGTGGCCGTCGACGTCGATCCTTGGAAGCTGAGGAGGAACTGCTGCCGCTACTTTCGCTGGATGCCATTGCGAAATACCCTGCCGTTGTGGGAGGTCAGGCGGGACGCTGAGCAGCGCGGTGTCGTTGTAATCGTTGCAGATTGTGGGCCGCTTCTCGCCAGCGACCTGGGACACGATATGGAAGCCGTCGAAGCTGATGCTGTTCTGGCTCTTCGTCAGGAGGTACTCAACTGACGGAATGAATATGGAGGCGCACACAGTAGCGAGTACTATGGCAAGAACACTTGGGCGGCCGCTAGCCCCTGGTTGTGGCGGCAGCAGAACTGGAAGCTCTGATGGGAGCCTACCCCGCTGAGGCAGTGGAATGGAAGCCATTTGGCCTTGAGCCAAAATGGCTTGAGCCAAAATGGCTACGGATTGCTGATGATGCTGATGATGATGATGATATGATGGGGTCCCGATGATGATGATGTTGTTCATGATGATGATATGATAATGAGGATGATGATGATGGTGGTGTTCCGCTGATGATGATGATGGTGTCCCGATGATGATGATGCTAGTGATGATGATGACGATGATGGTGTCCCCATGATGCTGATGATGGTGGTGATGATGATGATGATGGTGATGAGGTGATGATGATGGTGTCCCGATGATGATGATGATGATGCTGATGATGTTGACGGTGGTGACGATGATGACGATGATGATCATGATGACGATGATGACGATGATGTTGATGATGACGTTGATTGTGAGATCGATTGTGATATCGATAGTGAGATCGATAGTGAGACCGAATGTGAGATCGATTGTGAGATCGATAGTGAGATCGATAGTGAGATCGATTGTGAGATCGATAGTCAGATCGATCGAATCGAATAGATCGAGTGAGATCGACTGTGGGATCGATCGAGTGAGATCGACCTGAAGACGCCAGAAGACTGGGAGAGGGCCGAGCTGGAGCTCATCCTGGACAAGCTGGCGGGCTCCACCATCAAGTCCTATAGCCTGGGCTGGCGCTGGTGGTCACTACCCTGCAGGGCGCGCGGCATTAGCCCGCTGCGGGAGGTCGCCGCGTCTAACAGGAGGGCGGAGGAGGAGCTGCTGCTGGACTTCGCGGCGCACACGTCGAGGCGAGGGCTCAAGAAGGCAGGCGCGATCAAGCAGTGCCTCAGCGCCGCGAGGGCGCAGCATCTGGCGCTAGGCCTGGGCGACATCGCGGCGGGAGCATGGCGACTCTGGATGGCGATCGACGGGCTCAGGCGGCGCGACGGAGCACCCGAGAGGAAGAAGCCCGTCACGCCTCGCATGATGCGGTGGACCAGGAGGAAGCTGCAGCCAGGAGAAATCGCGAGAGGGAGCAGCCTTGTGGGCGGCGGTCGCCACGGGTTACTTCTTCCTGCTGCGCGCCAGCGAGTACGCATCGAGCGACCATAACGGCTGCGCGGGCAACGAGGGCTTGCGCGGGATGGATGTCACGCCGAAGGCAACGGGCGAGCCGTGCCGCAACTGGCCTGCGGCGGACGAGGTGGTCATCAAGATCCGGGCCAGCAAGACTGACCGATGCAATCGCGGGGAGTGGCGCAACCGCTCCAAAGCCGAGGCGACAGCAGAGGCGGGGGCGGAGGCTCACATCTGCGTCGTGGAGGCCCTGACTATCTACGAAGGATGGGCGAGGGAGTGGTTCTCGGGCTTCAGGATGCACGACCCGCTGTTCGCGCACGACGACGACCGACTGGTGACCCGGGCGCGCGTCCGGCGGGTGGTGATGCAGGCGGCGGCGGCGGCAAGAGGGAGTCGACCCGAACGACCTGGGCTCCCGCAGCCAGCGGATCGGCGGCGCGCCAGCCCTGCGCGCGGCGCACCAAGGGCACGGCGCCGGCGCAGAGGTGGGGGCGCCGGAACAGCGGCGCCTTCCGGGGGCACCTCTGGGAGGCGATGGGGCATGGCGCAGGGGGGAAGGAGGAGGAGGGGGAAGGGGAGGAGGAGGAGGAGGAGGAGGAGGAGGAGGAGGAGGAGGAGGAGGAGGAGGAGGAGGGCGAGGAGGAGGATGGCGCAGCATTGCTGCCGCCGACCTGGCCGTGGTCAGAGGAAGTGCTGGGCGGCGGCGGGGAGAAGCCCACAGTCTCCACGCGCAGGGGCAGCCCCCGTGGGCCGCGGCGCGGGGGCGAGGCTCGCGAGGCCCGGCGAAGTGCCGCTCAGCAGAGCGCTGCTAGGCGCCTGTGGAAGTCAGGGGTGCGCGGGCGGGGGCTCCGGAGGGGGGCCCCGCCTGCAAAGAGGCGGAGCGCCTGGGAGCTGAGGGGGGGGCCAGTGGCCCGCGCAGCGCGAGGCCGCGGAGCTCGCGCCCGGCGGCTCAAGGATAGTCGCGTGCGCCCACGGGCCATGAGAAGGCGCTCCTCCTCCTCGCCCAGCGTCTGAAGAGAAGGAGGTGAGGAGGGGGGGGATGAGGGGGCGGCCTGAGGGCCCAGGCGTGCCAGGCGAGCCTAGGGGGCCTGATCAGCCTTGACCCCGAGGCGCAGCATTGGGAAAACTTAGACGTTCGCTAGAACAGCAGGTTTTCCCACCTTTCGCAGCCTCTCCTCTGCTCTATCTTCTCTTCCCTCCTGCTCAAAGGCACCTGTAGTGCCCGGCATTCTTTTTTGGGGCCCCACCCACCCGCGCCGTAAAAGCAGAGGTTGTGCGGGGCCCCAGCCGAGTTTTCTCGGCCGCGCTCGCCGCGTAGCGGTTGGTGCGACGGCCCCTTCCACGGTGGGTCAATGGCCCGCGCAATGCGAGGCCACAGAGCTCGCGCCTGGCGGCTGGAGGACAGTCGCGGGTGACCACAGGCCATGAGAAAAGGCGCCCCCCCTTCGCCAATTGTCTGAATAGAAGGAGGAAAGGAGGAGGAGGAGGAGGAGGAGGAGGAGGAGGAGGAGGAAGCGGCCTGAGGGCCCTGGCGTGCCAGGCGAGCCTAGGGGGCCCGATCCGCATTGGCCCCGAGGCGTCGAGGCAGTGGGGAAACCGCCGTATGTGGACGGTGCCATTGACGCCGTCGGTGGAGCTCATATGGGGCCACAAACGCCGTACTGGATGGAGGAAACGCATGCTGGCGGTAGCGCTGGGCCTTCGGTGGAGCTCCCTATGGGGCCACGAGACGCTGCGCTGGGTGGTGGTGACGCACGCGGACGGTGCCAGTGGGGCCAGTGGTGGGGCTCCCTATGGGGCCACGAGGCGCTGTACTGGGTGGGGGTGACGCACGCGGGAAGTAACGCTGGGCCGACGGGACATTGAAACGCTGCACTGGGCGGGGGACACGCGCGCAGACGGTGCTTGTGGCGCCTTCTGCGAAGCTGCCCGTGAGGCTGCGAAGCACTGCGCTGGGTAGGGGGGAAAATGCGCGCGCACCTGGGCCTTCGGTGGAGCTCCGCATGGAGCCACGAAGCGTCACGCTAAATGGAGGAGGTGCCCCCAATATGGCCACGAAGTGATGCGTTAGGTGGCGGGGGCGCATGCGGGCGGTGACGCTGGGACCTTCGGTGGGGCGGCGGGCGGCCTTCGGTGGAGCTCCCTCTATGCCACGAACCGCTGTAGTGGGTGGGGGGGGGGACACATGCGGAAAATGCCACTGGGACCTTCGGTGGCGCTCCCGGTGGGGCCACGATACGCTGTACTGGGTGGGGGGGGAGACGCAACTGAACGGTGGCATTACAGTCTTCGGTGGAGCTCCCTATGGGCCACGAAACGCTGTACTAGTGTGGTGGACGCATGCGAGCGGTAGCACTGGGGCCATCGGTGGCGCTCCCTATGGGGGCACGAAACGCTGTACTGGGTAGGGGGGGGCGCGGCAGTAACACTGGGGCCTTCGGTGGAACTCCCTATAGGGCCACGAAACGCTGTACTCATTTTGGAGGGGAAGCATGCGGGAATCACAAAACCATACAATATCATCTCGGCGACGGAGCGAGCCGATTATGCATTGAAACGGGGCTGATCCACTCGTGCCAATCCATGCGTGCGTTCCCTCGACGGGGGGAACACGCACAGTGTGAATAGGCTCTTCTCCTCCTCCTCCTCCTCCTCCTCCTCCTCCTCATCCTCCTCTTCCTCCCCTTCTTCTCTGCTCCTCCCCCTCTCGCCTTCCCTCGTGACTCCCCAGCCCCAAGTGGGCCAACCTCCGCATCATGCGGGATCCCTTCAGCGTCCTGCGGGGTGGGTGGGCGACGGAACAAGGTGTGGGGAGGAGATCGGGAGGAAAGAAGGGAGGATGAGAAAGAGGAGAAGGAGGAGGGAGAGGGAGCGAGGTGGAGGTGGAGGAGGAAGATGAGGCGAGGGGCATGGTAGGAGGGGATCGGTCGAGTGCAGGGGAGGAGAAAATATGTTTGGACTCCACGTCCCAGCGCATCCAGGCGGAGGAGGGCGTGGAAGGTGGGGAGTTGGGGAGGGGTGCAGGATAACAGGGTAGCAAGGTGGGGAGGAGGTGAGGGGTGAGGGACGCAGGAGAGGGGAGGAGATGAGGGAGCATAAGAGGGGGAAGGGGGAGGAGAGGGACGAAGCAGAGATGAGAGGAACAAACTCCTCCTACTCCCTCCCCTTCCATCGAATAACCCGCCTGACCCTTGGCAAGACTCTCCCTGATACCGTAAAGCCTCATTTATGTTTCTCCCCTGATTCCTCCTCTTCCCTACGCCTCCTTTCGAACCCCCTGGATCCCTTCAGACCTCCTCCGCCTCGCTCGCTCACAACCTAAAGAAGAGGGTTACCCATTATGGGACCTCAGGGGAGCACGTCCAGGTAAACGAGCAACACAGTGGCAAAACGACGAAGCAAAAAGGAGCATCCCCCCCCGCCCTCAACTTGAGGAAGGCCTTGGAGTCAGTTGGCGATGCCTGGCCCCTCCCTGGCGGAAGCTCTTGCGCCAGGGAGAGCGCTCAACTGAAAGGCCAAGGGTGGATCACGAGGGGAAGAGTATAGCTTTTGTTGACATCCACGGTCACAGACGCCATCTACACTGGACCAAAGACACAGGTTGGACTGAGATCCCGTCCCTCTTCGGGTGGAGACCTTTGCCAAGCCTTCTCCAACTCTCCCTCTTGCGAGGGAAGCACTAGGGAACGGCGAAGGACGACGAGGCGACGTCCACTGGGGAGGAAGCGACGAGTCAGGGAGCATGGACCACCCCAGACCAGGGAGATATGACGGTCGGTGCGCAGTCAGTCGGTAGTTGGTCAGGTCGCCCTCTGGAGTTCTCCACCACGAGCCGTGCTCAGGGCGAGGGTGCCCCGTTTTCGGAGGGGCGCCCCAAGCGGGAGAGCAAGAAGGGACGAGCCTTCTCGGAAGGATCGGAGGACCTCCGGCCTTCTGAGCAGCTTTCTTTCTGGGCCTTCTTTGAAGCTGCAGAGGGCTTCTTCGAAGCACCGCCGCCTCCCGAGAAGGACTTGCTCCTCTCACTTTCCCCCTTGGGCGCGCCGCCAACTTTGGTTGAAAAGACCGCATCCGAGAGTCGTGGCGTATGCGGAATTCCTCCGTGCTCAGCTCAGGCCGGGAGGGATGGCAAAGGCGGGGAGGAATAATCACGGGGTTACCTATACGACCACCCTCCGGGTGATAAGGAGGTTGTGGGGGGGGAGAGGGGTAACCATCATCTGACGCAATGGATCTCACTATCGATCTCACTCAACGGGACACCACGGGACACAACGGGACACTTGTCGATCTCACTATCGATCTCACTCAACAGGACACCACGGGACACCACGGGCCACCACGGGACACCACGGGACTCCGCGGGACACCTCTCGATCTTACGATCGGTCTCACTATCGATCTCACTATCGATCTCAATCAACGGGACACCATAGAACACCACGGGACACCACGGGACTCCTCGGGACACCACATCGATCTCACTATCGATCTCACTATCGATCTCACTCAACGGAACACCACGAAACACCACGAAACACCAGGGGACACCATGGGACACCTGTCGATCTCACTATCGATCTCAAATTTGGGGACACCACGGGACACCTCGGGGCACCACATCGATCTCAGTATCGATCTCACTATCCATCTGAGTATCGATCAGTATCGATCACAACAACGGGACACCACGGGACACCGCGGGACACCGCGAGCCACCGCTGGACGGACGGACGGACGGGCGGGCGGGAGAGAATCATTTGTTTTGACTTCGCCCTAGCAACGGTGGACACCACGGGACACCACGGGACACCACGGGACACCGCGGGACACCGCGAGCCACCGCCGGACGGGCGGGCGGGGGAGAATCATTTGTCTTGACCTCGCCCTAACAACGGCGGACACCACGGGACACCACGGGACACCGCGGGACACCGCGAGCCACCGCCGGACGGGCGGGCGGGGGATAATCATTTGTCTTGAATTTGCCCTAGCAGCGGCGGACACCATGGGACACCACGGGACACCACATGACACCGCGGGACACCGCGAGCCACCGCCGGACGGGCGGGCGGGGGAGAATCATTTGTCTTGACCTCGCCCTAACAACGGCGGACACCACAGGACACCACGGGACACCGCGGGACACCGCGAGCCACCGCTGGACGGGCGGGCGGGGGATAATCATTTGTCTTGAATTTGCCCTAGCAACGGCGGGTTCATTCCTCTCGCGCGCCCACGCAGCTTCGCCTCGCCCGCACGCACGACACGAGCGAAACGAAACGATTTCCTGGTTGGGGGTCTCTGTTCCACTGCGATCTCACTCCCCAACCTCCGATCTAAATGCAGCTGGTTTTCCCCATGCTGCCTGGCGACAGAGGCGACAACGTACCAAGAAAAGAGCCTGGGGTGCAAGGCAGAGACAAGCTGCATGCAGTCAGATGTCATACCCTCCCTTTCCCGCTCCCCCCTTTTGTCCGACCAATGGATGGAGGGCGTCTGACAATAACCTCTCGACTAAACAACGTACTGCAACGTGAGGCACCAGCAGCTTGCAAAGATGGTGCTGCGCGAAAGCTGCTGGAGTGAACCAGGCCACCCTGGATCCAATGCATCCATAGAGCTAAACACAGTCATGAGTGCTTTCCAGCATGGCGCCTAAAACTGGGACCACAGACGCTCCTAGAAGCAAATGATCTGACGCTTTCAAAATGTGCCTCTGCAAGCGTCATGAACATGACCAAATGAGTCCACTGGCGAAAAACAAATCTCTATCCGATTGCGCCTTCCGCTCCGCACTGATGTGAGCCAGTGGTCTTCCACGTATTCGGGCGGTCTTCTCGTGTTGCTACCCCTCCTCCGTCACTGCTCCGCCTTTGCCTCCCTATCCACTGGTCCTGGTCAACTTCAGCAGCCTCAAGAGCCGTAAGGCCCTGACGGCCTACAGCGGCCCGAAGAGCGTGCAAACAGGTGCTACACAACTCGTCCATCCTTCTACTTCCTTCGTCATGCGCTGATGACACACCGCTTTTGTCATTTTAATCGTCTCGTGCTACTCCTTACTCCACCACTATTGGGGGAAGGAGGAGGAACATGAGGAGACAATGGCAGGGGGAAACTGGTAGACGAAGATCCAATGACGCGGCTCCCCGCAACGCTGGCGCCGCTCTGGCGACCAGCCGAATCGGCGCAGTTGCAGGCGGACGACCTTCAACGAACCCGCGAAGACGTGTCCGGCGATGACAAACTAAATCTACCGCAACTCGCCATTGAAAAAGGGTATTCAAGACAAGCGGCGCTGGACCACAGGACTTTCCGAAGGACTACTGGGATTATCGTCGGACTGCCATCGCAGCTTTCCCTGGTCTCCTGATCCCCCGTGAGGGTCGGCGAACCATATCGCAAGGCCAATCAAACACATCCTTGCTGGACCTCAACCAACAATTTTTATGTCATGTGTTCAGGATATGAGCGACTGCGCATTGGCCGGCAAAGACACCGAACGCTGCAACACAAATCGGCTCTTCACACCCAAAATCCGAGAACACACGTGTCGTCGTGTCTTCGGTCAAACTGGCCTGCTCGAAACATGGGCGTGACGGCGAATCCGCGCAGTATGTAGATATGATGCACACGGGAGGGGGGAACCAATCGAATGGGAAACATTTAGAGCCGACTCGAGCGGGAGGAACGACAACGAGCGCCTTGCACAAGACGGAAGCTGAGAATAACCCATGTATTGCATTCTGCTGACCCTCATCTCAACGAAGACTCCATGGTGTTTCCTGGGGTGCTCGCCTTAATGTTTGACATCGCGGAGTCGGTGGACGTCAAGCTGATGAGGTCGTAAGGGAAGACGCATACCTCAGAACTCAACACTCACGAGGTCGGGTTCACGGGTGCACGATGTGGCTACAAGTCTAGAACAGAAAGAGCCAAACAGAAAAATGCCCGAAGGGTTGAGGGTTGAGGCAGCGCCAATGGAGAAGAAGGACGGCCGAGAGGATGAAGGACAAGAAGAGAAAGAGTAAGATGCGTCACCGAATCCGTGCGCCCCAGCCCAGGCCCCAGGCCTCCAGACGGACAGCTCCAGCCTAGGGAGGTGCGGGGCGGAAGGACGGTCCGCAGCGCACATCGCTGTGCTGCGCGCTCGTGGACTAACCGGGAAAAGTGACAACAGCCGCAAAAAGTCAACTTTTGACAATCAAACCCTTTCGGGCCCCTCATGTGAAAACCTGGAAAGAGGACCAGACATAAGAAATGGTTGACGCTGCTGATCCCCACCCAAACTATCAAGCACGAGACGGACGACGGGCGACTGAGAACGCCGTCTCGGCACGTCGTCGCCGTCACCGTCGTCGTCTTCGTTGCCCCTTCCCCGCCTTCCTCCCTCCCCTTCCGTTTCCCACCCCCTTCGAGCAGATCACAAGTTGTGGCCAGGAATTCCACTTGTGAACTTCTTCGAGGGTCCGGAGCGCGCCTCACCTGCTCCTGCTGACGACGACGGGAGGAGGGATGCGGCTGGCGGCTAAAACGTGGGAGCTGCAAGGTCGCACACGGTGCGCTGCAGCACGATATTAGACCTGTCGTAGACTGAATCATCACGGATCCACCCCCCGCCCCCGCCCTCACAAGCCCCCCGTCTTTCCACACCATTCGAGCAGCGCTGCTAGCTGTGGAAGGGAAGAGACGAAGAGGAGGAAACACACCTCAACAGCTGATGACCAGCATGAGGGCTCTTGAAACGCACGCCAACCACTCCTTATTATTCATTGTTTCCGCTCCGCCATTTCGGGTGGAGGCTGGTGGCGAAAAGCGCGTCGGCGGCATCCCCGCCACCCCCTCCCACCGCAGCTCCCAACTGGGCCGACACCATGTGGCGCTGGCGTGGGAGGTGCTGTCCCTCCCGGACCCATCTTTAGAGAAGGAACTGATATCCGGTACGTAAGGCATTCCGCTCGTAGGCGGCGACATCCGAACGCTACCACGACCAACGGGGACAGGGTTCGGAATTCGCGACGTGTTCGACGAATTCTGAATTCTACCCCCGCCGTCCATCCACTTACCAGAATCGTCGATCGGCGAGGGTAAGGTTCGGATTGCGCCGCCCGTCGCGTAGCGTGGACCTCGCCTTCGCTGGCCACCGTAAGCGCAGCGCTTTGCGCTGCTTCGGCTGATGGCCCGGTTTTGGGGATACAATGGCCGAAGAGCCAGACAGCCCCTTATGATAGATATGGGCCTCGGCTCGCTTGCGAAGACGGCCGGGTTCCCTCAAGTCATGGTGTAAATAGCTACACCCGTCGAGGACGAGAAAGAGGAGGGGGAGGAAGAGGGCGCGCGTGCGCGCGCCCACGCCTTTCCCCTGCCACCTTGCGAGCCATGAAAGCTCATCGAGCGGCGCCATCGAAACGATGGAAACGACCCTCTACTCGAACGTCGGGAGGAAGGAGGGAAGAGGCAAGAGAGAAGCGGGGAGAGGCCCAGACGGATCGAGGATCCCCGAAATCCAACGGGGCTTCCGCTCAAACAAAACGTGCGCCAAAACTTTGGGGTAGAACATACACAGAAGCCCTCAAAGGTCCCCCGATTGGCCCCAGGATGCCCCCAATACGGTCCCCCCCCGAAGAGCCCCTCCAAAGCCCCCAGGAGGACCCAAGAGGGTCTCATGAGGTCTCCTCTTCTTCCTCGTCCTCCTCCATTCCTTTACCTTATCAATCAGTTGTCCCTGTCGCACCTGAAGGCTGGTCGAAAGGGCGGGCCTGGCGTTTCGCGTGAGACTTCCTCACCACTTATGACTATGAAGCTTAAAACTTGGCAACAGTTTCACGGACCGAGGGCGGGTCGTTTTCAAGACGTGGCTCTCGCCTTAGCGCTGCGCACATTCGTTGTAAACAATGCAAGAGCTTCACGGACCGAGGGCGGGTCGTTTTCACAATGTGGCTCTCGCATTAGCGCCGCGCACACTCGTTTTAAACATTGAAGTGGTTCACGGGTTGAGGGTGGTTCGTTTCCAAAATGTGGCCCTCGCCTGAGAGCCGTGCACATTCCTCTCTAAAGAACTGCAAGGGTTTCACGGATTGAGGGCGGTTCGTTTTCAACATGTGGCTCTCGCCTTAGCGCCGCGCACATGCGTTTCAAAATATGCAAGAAACTGACGGAATCCTAGGGTCAACGTACCAGAAATAATATTGTGGAAAGGCTCCAGATTATGAAGGTGCAACAGATACGTGCATTCGCGACGTTGGGGTCCCAAGAATGGAGTTCTGGCACGATTCAGGATCTTCAAGACGCAACAGTCAGGTTTATCCGTGTCGTTGGAGTTCCGAGAATGTTGTGATGGCATGCTTCGGGGTCTTTAAACGGCTGGCTTCCAACGAGGCAGTTCCCTCAGTGGGTAGGGGCCTATGAAGAGGGAGCTTGGATGCAGGGTTTATTCCAACATCGTTGATGACTCTTACGTTTACACCGGCCCTCCTCCTCATCCTCCTCCTCCTCCTCCTGCTCCTCCATCTCCATGGTCGTTTCCACAAGGTACGGGGCGGCGGTGACTCTCCGTAGGCGTCCTCGATTCACAGCCCCCTCTTCATTTATCAAAGGGGGGGCCCGGCGTGCCAAACCCTTCAATCTCTGTAAGAAGTGGAAGGGTTCCCAGTGGGGTCTCGGCCGATCCCGTTGGCCACATGGAAAAACCTGAGGGAGCCCCATCCCGTCGGCCGCGAAAGCATCCTCCCGAAGTGGAGATGCTGGCTCAAGACGGGCAAAGATAGCCTCAAAGACGGCTTAAGATGCCTCCAAGATCTCCCAAGATGCCTCCAAGACGGCCCAAGATGACCCCAAGACGGCCCAAGATGACCCCGAGACGGCCCAAGAGGCCCCAGAGGCGCCCCAAGAGGGCTTCAAGGACCTCCGGGAGGCCCAAACATTGATTCTCAATTGATGATTCAATGTGTAGCGTTCTCGCCTTTTCTGTCTTCCGACGCTGCGAGACGGCTGAATAGGCCCCAAAGATCACCCCAACAGGCCTCAAGATGGCCCAAAGGGGCACCAAAATACTCTAAGAGGCCTGCAAATCGGCCCCTGAGACGGCCCCACAGACCTCCACGACTGCCCAAAAGAGTCCAAAGATGGACCCACGACTGTATGGAGAGGCCCCCAAGTCGGCCTTCGAAGGCCAAGAGGTCCCTTAGAGCCCCAAAGACCCCCAGAGCCTAGCAAAAGGCACCCGATAGGCCCCAGAAAGCTCCCAAGAGGCCCCTCAGATGCCCCCAAGTGGCTCTCAGGAAGCCACCAGGAAGATCCGAAATGGCCTCAACAGGCTCCTTTTGCTTTACTCGTCCTCCTTGTCCTCATTCCCCTCCTGCTCCTCCTTTCTCTTTCGCCCCCGAGTGTTTCCCCAAAAAGTTCCACAACAGCTGGGGAACACATAGTCGAATAGCTTTGCAGACGTTGGCCCAGTGTTTGGCCGCTTGGGAGTTTCTAAAAGGCATGGGGCGGCGGTGGTTCGCTGTCGGCGTCTTCGATCCAAACCCAGCCTCCATGAGTCTCCCCCAAGATTGCCCAAAGTAGCCCCTAAGACGGCCAAGATGGTCTCCGAGACGGCAAAAATGGATCCAAGACGGCCAAGGTGGCCCCAAGACTGCCGACCTTGCCCTCTAGATGGCCCAAGAGGCCCCCAAGAGGGCTCCCATTGATGTCCTCAGCTTTCTTGTTTAAGTGATTGTGATCTTCTCGTTTGTTCTGCTTTCGATGCTCTAAGATGCCCTCCAAGACAACTAAGCCTCCAAGACGGCCAACATGGCCCCAAAACAGCCCAAGATGCCACACGGACAACCCAAGAAGCCCACCGAACGCCCCTCGAGGGCTCACAGAGGACCTCCAGGCCAACATCATTAACTCACCGCATGTGTTTCCAATGAGTTAAGCGTTCTCGACTTTTCGGGCGTCCGATGCTTCAAGACGGCCCCGTAGCCAGACCCACGAGATCGCCCCAAGAGGCCCCGAAGAGGCTCGCAAGACGGCCCAAAAGGGCCCCAAGACGGCCCAAGAGGCCCTCAAGACGGTCCCAAGACGGCCCCGCACACCTCCAAGGCGGCCCTAACGCGCCCAAAGAGGGACCCACGACTTTCCCTTCCCAGAAAGGCCACAAAGACGGCCTCCAAAGGCCCAGAGGTCCCTAAGAGGCACGAGGCCCCAGCAGGCCCCTAAGAGGCCCTCCAAAGGACTCCCAGGAAGCCCCCGAGAAGCCTTCTGTTCCTCATCCTCCTCCTTCTCCTCCTGCTCCTCCCTCCCATTCTCATGTCCCTTTCTCCCCAAGGCGTTCCCCGAGGTATTCCAAAACACATCATTCGCCCAATGAATTGGCAAGACGTTGGCCCAACGTTTGGCCGCATGGGCGTTTCCAGAAGGCAGGGGGCGGCGGTGGTTTTCAATGCACAGGACCCTCTTGAAATAGTTTATGACTGTCGAGAAATGGCACGCTGATGCGATGCAGTTGCAATATCCTATCTGCGTTGCAAATAACTGTTGTATGCTTCTTCACTGGCTCGACACACAAATGCGCATGCGCGCGACCTGTAGACAACATATCGTCTGAGCGCCAGCCTGAACGTGCCGATCCAACTGCATGTGAGTGTCTGGGCCAATACACTTACGGATCCGTTATCGACATGATCGTCCCGTTTCGGTTCGCCAGCAGCGCCTGGCGGTGGTTTTCGATACATCTAACACCTACTACGCCAGCCGAGTGCATTGCCTGATGTGTACCATGCTCCAATCCCTGGGGGCGTCGAACCTCACTGCTGGATGACGGCTGCTGCCGAGGCTGCGTTGAAGGGGGCCAGGAGTGTACCGCGAGCCCAGGGTCCTTCAAGCGCGGGCCCATCTCACGGCTGCCTCAGATGGGACTGCTTCATTCAACGGCGAGCCCTAGGGGGAAATCAGACGGGGAAGGCCTTCTGGAAAGACTCGGAAGGCCTCCGGCCTGCTGCGAAACTGTCTGGGCCCGAGAAGGCCTTCTCCCTCTCGCTTCCCTCTGGGCGCGCCGCCGATTCGGTCGCACGCAAGAGTTTCCCTGGGCAGGAGTGACCTTTGGTGCGCAGCTTCAGGGGGCCGCGGGTGGGCCAAATCCAAGCGCGCAAGCTAGTGCTGTGGTGAGCCTTGTGGGCCCGCACCGGAGGTCACTGCTGCTCTTGCGCTTAGTCAACTGCTATGGTCCTGGGATGGCCCGAGAGGGCCCCAGGAAGGCTCGAGGAGGCCCCAAGGTCCCTGGCAACCAAGATCATTGCAAGACCCGGCTCACGGGGAAGAAGGAGGAGGAGGAGGTTGTTGCTTTCTTGGGATGGGGCAAACAGGGCGGATATAAAATCTGACAGGAGGAAAGATGAGGTGGAGAATGAGGAGGCGAAACAGGTACGCAGGACGCGGAAAACAGCTTCCCCGGGGTTACGCTATCCAACATGAACCAGGTGCTCAGGTAGCGGCGCGCGATGTAAGCGTGGCGATCCTCCATATAGCAACTGTACCTCGGGGCACCCCAAACCGCAAGGACGGTGCGTCTGGCCTCCACTCGGGGGGGCGAAAACACGCGAACGAACGCCAGTGTCGTGAACGCCCCGCAAGGGAGCTCGCCCGTGCCCAAACGCGGCATGGCATGGGAGGCCGCAGTCTCACCGAGGAAGGTACGAACTCACCCACCGTGTGCTACGGCAAAACGTCACTACGCGTCCAGCAGTGAGGCTCGGGTGCGCCGACGAGGGGGGCCAGGAAAACCGGGACCATCGCAGCATGGCCCGAAGCATGTGCACGGACGACGGGGGCTAGGTGGCGCGATGCAAGAAAGAGAAAGAGACAACGCAATCCACGCGCCACCAGTCCTCATCCCCCCATTGCACGCCCAGGAAGGAGGAGGCCGAACCTAGAGGCGGTAAGTGGAATCGGAGTAAAAGACGTCGGACGATCGAAATGCATCGCCGATGCGTTGGCGACGCGCCAGCGATCGGGCTCCACATCGAACCGCATCGCAGATGCGTCGGAGATGCGTCGCGATCCTCTGACCCCATCTAGTCGGACGCCATGTTGGAGGCCTAAAAATGAAGGATGAGGCCGAAACCCAGTGCGCGTTCAACACGCTGCTTGCCGCGGCCCCGAGCACCGCGTCTTCACCGGGTACTTCAGGAAGAACTGGAGGACCATGTCGAACAGCTGCGGGCCGGGCGGCCAACGGCGCGTCCAGACACCCCGGCACGCGCATGCCCCGAGCTGTCTGCTGGCCAGCAGCCCGGGCCAAGGCGGCCTGCCCATGGGACTGCAGTCGTCAAAAGACACACCGGGAGGCCCCAAGAGGCACCCGAGAGAGCCCAAAGAAGCCACCGAAATGTCCAAGAGAGCCCCAAAGAAAACTCCACACGGCGAAACACATGATGTGTTTCCCCACATCCTAGGGGCTTCTTGACTTCTCTGGACACCCCGCGCAGTCCTCCCAACCATTATCATCATCAGAATCACCATCATCCTCATCATCATTAGCATCATCATCATTTGTTGTTGTAATCCCACCAGCCCTTTGGGCGTGAGTGGTTTAGAGAGCTCTCTCTGTTCTCACCCCCCCTTCTTCCCCTTCGGGGAGGGGTTTACCCCTCCCCCTCCCCCCTCCCCCTGGGCCTGGAGAGGGCGTCCCGCGGGTCGTTGGAGGGTTTTTTTCGACTCCTGGGAGGGCTAAAAAACGACACCCCTCACGAGGATTCTGGCCCCGACGTGGGGAGGCAGAAAAATGCCCCCCTCTTCTTTGAAGCCAGAATTATTGATTTTACTACGGTTTTGGCCCCATTTTGGCCTTCTGAGGGGGCAGCGCTAATTAAAGCTCCCCTCTTCTTTCAAGCCAAAATCATTGATTTTACTAAGGTTTTGGCCCCATGTTGGCCTTCTGAGGGGGCAGCGCTAATTAAAGCTCCCCTCTTCTTTGATCGATTTCCTCCAAGATGGCCCCAAGAAGCGCCCAGGAGGCACCAAGAGGCCCCAAGATGGCCCCAAGAGGCCCCCAGGAGGCCCCCAAGAGGATCCCAAACGGCCCAAAGAGGCCCCCCCGAGGCACCCAAGACGCCGAAAAGCCCATCAGGACGACCCTCTACTCGCCTGGGCGTCGTTTCTGGACGGGCAGGAGGAGGGGCCCGAACGACTCACACCAGGACGAGGGGCCCGAACAACTCACACCACGAGAAGCCCGAACGACTCACACCAGGACGAAGAGCCCGAACGACTCACACCACGAAGAGCCCGAACGACTCACACCAGGAAGAAGGGCCCGAACGACTCACACCAGGACGAGAACCCCGAACGACTCAAACCACGAGGAGCGCTTTCTCTCCCTCCTCCTCCGCCTCGTCCTTCTCCCGCTCCCACCACAAGGAGGATGTACAAGGAGGCGGGAGGAAGGAGGAACAGGGGAGATATGCGGGGGCAGGCGGAAACACGCCTGAAAAACACGACTGTCGGCATGCTTCGCTAGAGTTGCTGCTTTGAGATGGGCTGGTGGGGATACGCGAAGCGTGAAGAATTGCATTGTGGTTGTCGTTGTCCTCATGTTGCGTGGTTGCTGTTGCTTTGTTGTAATTGCATTGTGGTTGTCGTCGTCCTCGCCCGCGATCCCCCCCGCGACCCAACCCGCAAATCACCCCGCGACCAATCCCGCGATCCACTCACATTGCTTTGTCGAAAACTCGGCGCCTGCGGCGGGCTCGTTGTACAATGTGTTGAATAAACGGCCGCCTGCGGCGGGCTTCTTCAAAGCATCGCAGACTGCCGACGACCTCGCCGCCCCCCCACTCGCAGCCGCAACTGCGGAGGGCGACGCATGCGATACCTTTCTTCGCCCACTGACTTACGTGTATCCATCGGCTCCGATCGCTCACGTCTCTGACGATCACCCCCCTCTCCCCCGCGAATCCACTACATTTCCGCCCCTGGGGGCGCCGATCGCGGGAGCACAGGGGGACGGGGCAGGCGGCACCCGGGCCAGAAGGCGGCCATGATGAACACCACGTCGACGATGCGGTTGACTACGAAGATAGTGTCGATTTGGATCCGCGCATCGGCCCCAGCAGGGGGCGCCCCTGGCATGCCGCTGCCCTGGGATGACCCCACTCGTGCAGGACCATCCGTGGAAGAAGCAAAAGCAACACAAACATAAACGTTTGGAGGTCCGCGCGGACTTCTTTCGGCAGCGCGCCGGGGAGGAAGTGAGAAGGAGCGGGCCTTCCCAGAAGGCTCGGAAGTTCTCTGGCCCTGTAAGTCATGTTCTAAGCCTTCCCCGAAGACGCAGCAAACTTCTCAGAAGGCCCGATGGCTTCTGAGAAGCCCCGCCGCGTTCAGAGGAGGCCTTCTCCTTTCCACTTTCCCACTCGCTCGCCGCCGAATAGAGATCGCTGGTCCCCCTCTCTGACGCGCGAGCTCTCGAGGGGCGGCGCCGGAAGCGCCGCCAGGGGGGCCCGGCGCCGATCCGAGAAATCTGGGGACGGAGTAGATGGGGCCTAGGGACACACACACACACACACATAAGTTAACACTGCTCCCAGGATTCCCCATATTTCACCTACACTTCCCAAATTCTCCAGATGTTCAAAGAGGAATCGACGATTCTGTGTCTGTGTGCTTTGTTTCCCACCCTGAAGTAGTTGGGGTCGGATGATGTCGCCGCATCGCCGACGCATCTGCGATGCATCGTCGATGCATGGGCGACGACGGCGATAAAGCAGCGAAGTCCGCGGGGAGAAGATCGGGCTCACATCGAGCCGCATCGGCGATGCGGCGCGATCCTCCGACCCAATCTGGGATACCTAGCCAACACCGATCCTCGCCAGGCCAAACCTGGGCCCAGGATCGGCCTGGTCGAGATCGGTGCAGGCGCACAGCCGACGCTCCCCCCCGTCCGCACTGGGAGGTAAGACGAAGCCAGGACGAGGATAACATCGGGTGAGGATAAATCGAGAATCTCTGAGATGCGGCGGCTCTGGGGGATGTCTCAGGCACCGCGGCCTTCTCACAGCGTTCCGGATCGCTCTGAGAGCGTTCCGGAACGCTCTGGGACGGATGTATCCTCGCCCTAATTAGCCTCGTCAGAGGAAGGGATGCGCCCCTGGCGTACCGCTGTCCCGCGGCTCCAGCCGAGCGGGGCTCGGATCTCCCGCTGGCGCGATCGGAGGGAGAGTGGGAGGGACACAAGCCTAAGATAATGCGGACTATACACCTACACCGATATTGGCCAGGCTCACCCAAGGTCCACGATCGGTGTATACGCACGCCTGGCTTGGGCATGGAACCAAATAAACCGATCCTGGGTCCAGGACCGGCCTCCTGTCCAGGACTGGTGTACGTGTACGATCGGTGCCCTCCGAACGCCTCCTCTCGTCGCGCAAACATCACCGCGGGAATTTGTTTTGATGTGTTCGGCCCTCCTGGGACCTTGCCAGGCCCCAGGGGCGTTAACAAAACGAACGCCACGTATCGTATTGGAAGGCCAGTCCCCGGGAAGGGGACCTTCAGCGGTCCACATTGAGAAAAAACATGATCGACCCACGAAACTGGAAAGGAATATGGAAATGTAAGGCATGGCAACGTTTCAAAGACACCTGGTTGGGCGACGGGCAGGTGCAATGCTGAAAGTATCAATCTTGACCTACCGTGCCGAAGGCTATACTGTGCTGCGCCGTGCTGAATTGCGATGTGCCATGCAACGATTGTGCTCTATCGCGTTGTGGATCGAGTCCTCCTTTGCATCCGAGTCCTGACCGAACTGATCTGGATCTTAAGCTCGAGCTGCCTGAGCACATGGTAGCTGGCTGTCCCAGAGCTAGCTGACAAGGGGGCATGCAAGGATGACGCGCCGCGGAACGTTCCAAGGGACGCGCCAGGCGACATTCCAGGGGACGTGCCATGGGGACGCACCGCGGGACGTGCCAAGGGAACGCGCTACGGAATATGCAAATGGACGTGCAACGGGACGTGCCAGGGGACGCGCCGCGCGACGTGCCAGGGGGACTCGCCCCGGGACGCGCCGCGGAACGTGCCAAGTTGCAATGCTGAGTGTATCGATCTTGATGTGCCGCGCCGAAGGCTGTGCTGTGCTGCGCCGTGCTGAATTGCGATGTGCCATGCCGCGATGGTGCTCTATCGCGTTGTGGATCGAGTCCTCCTTTGCATCCGAGTCCTGACCGAACTGATCTGGATCTTAAGCTCGAGCTGCCTGAGCACGTAGCAGCTGCCCAAGAGCTAATTTGCACGGGGACATGTCAGGAGGACGCGCCGCGGAACGTCCCAAGGGACGCGCCAAGCGACGTGCCAGGGGACGTGCCATGGGGACGCACCGCGGGACGTGCCAAGGGAACGCGCTACGGAACGTGCCAATGGACGTGCCACGAGACGTGCTAGGGGACGCGCCGCGCGACGTGCCAGGGGGACTCGCCACGGGACGCGCCACGGTGCCAGGTTGCAATGCTGAGTGTATCGATCTTGGAGAAAGCGTGATCCACCGCCGCTTTACTGTGGAAAATTGCCGCCCTTTTCCTCCGGATCCCGGGGTTCCCCCCCCCCGTCCGAAAATCCCCCCCCCTCCCCCTCCCCCGGCAAAACCCCCCCTCCCCTAACCCCCCCCCCCTCCCCCTCGAAAACCGGGGGGGGTCACTACCGGTTCGAACCCCCCCCCCTCGAAAACCAAAGGGGGGGTCACTACCGGTTCGAACCCCTCCCCACCCACCCACTCACCGCCAGCAAACGACTCCCAGTCCCTACCACCGTCCACACCACATCCCCCACTGTTGTTCCCAGCACCACTGTCCTCACCACCACTGTCCCCACTGGTTCCACCACCGTCCCTATTGTCCAGTGCCCCCACCACTGTTCCCACCACGGCTCCACTCTCCCCACTTTCTCCACACCCCCAACCACTGCCCGACTATCCCCACTGTCCCCACTGTCCCACTGACTCCTCCGCTGTCCCACTGAACTGTTCCACTGTTCCCACCACTGTCCCCACTGTCCCCACCACTGTCCCCACTGTACCTCTGTCCCATTGTCCCACCGCCGTCCTCGCCACCGCCTTCACCACTGTCCCCACCACCACTGTACCCTCCACTGTCCCGCTGTTTCCACCTCATTCCCACTGTCCCCACACCACTATCCCCACCACCACCGTCCCCACCACTGTCCACTGTCCCCACTGTTCCCACTGTCCCCACCACTGTCCCGCTGTCCCCTCGCCACTGTCCCCACCACCACTGTCCCCACCACTGTCCGCACCCCCCCTCAGTTTTCGAGGGGGGGGGGGGTTCGAACCGGTAGTGACCCCCCCC